AGTGAACACCAGCTTCCTTAGATGTACCATTACCTGCGTCCTTGTATTTCTCCTTGGTTCACAGTATACTTACTGTTAATTTACTTTAACATCTTATTTTTGAGAATCATCTTGATAATGCCATGTTTTTATGTATCTCAGCCTCGACCTTGAGAGTGAAATATTTCTCTGCGGAAGCAGTGACTTGGTGTTTGTTAGCGTTGCCTTTTAACCTGACTCTCACTTCTCAGGAACTGTTCTCAGCAACGAGGATTTCCTGCTGCTGGAGCTCTTGCACTGGTTCAAGGAGGACTTTTTCCACTGGGTAAATTACATCCAGTGCAGCATATGTGGTGGCCAGACCAGGTCTCGGGGTGAGTCGCTGTCCCCCAATGATGAGGAGCTGTTTTGGGGTGCACACAGAGTGGAAGACCATTACTGTGATGTGTGCCAGTTCAGCAATCGCTTCCCCAGGTGGGTGCACCCTGCCCAGGGATGATGGGGATCTCGGCCTTAGAGGTTAGGCGTGAGCTGTAGCCCTTCTCAGATGAGCCTTCTATTTCAATTACTAATGCGTTCCTCTAGGGCGCTCTGGAGCCTAGAGGCAAGAAACTGCCCTGCAATCCCGAAGGGATGTGGTTCAAATCCACCAGCTGTTCCATGGGAGGATGGCCAATCTCCCCTGCCCTTAACTGCCTCTGAGAACCCACTAGAGGGTCAGCTATGGGTCAGTTCTGACTCGACTGTACACTGTGCAACATTTATGCTCCTCTAGAACAGGACCTCAAACACTGTGAACTTTGATTTAAGTCCAGCTCATCCTCAGTTTCGTGACACAAATCTTACTGAAGCCTTGATGGTCTCATGTGTAATGTTTCAGGCTGCCAGTGAAAAGGTCAGCAGTTTGAATCCACAAACTGCTCAATGGTAGGAAGATGAGCAGTCACCTCCCTGGAAGATTTGCAGCCTTAGAAGCCTGGTGGGGAATTGATCAGATTGGAACCGACTGAACAGTGATGTTAGATGTGTGCACGTTAATTTGCTTACCTCTGCCTGTGATTGTTTTCACACTGAAATAGCAAAGATGGATATGAATACTGGTGACAGCAGTGTGACCAGTAATACCTAAAACAGTCACTGTACTTTCACAAGAGATGTGTACTGACTCCTGCTCCAGGATAAAGAACTCATTAGTGTATACTGACTCCTTCTCCAGGATAGAGAACTCACGTGTGTACTGACTCCTTCTCCAGGATAGAGAACTCACGTGTGTACTGACTCCTCCAGAATAGAGAGCCCATGTGTGTACTGACTCCTGCTCTGGGATAGAGAGCTCACATGTGTACTGACTCCTCCAGGATAGAGAGCTCATGTCTGTACTGACTGCTCCGGGATAGAGAATTCATGCGTGTACTGACTCCTCCAGGATAGAGAGCTCACGTGTGTACTGACTGCTGCTCCGGGATAGAGAGTTCATGTGTGTACTGACTCCTGCTCCAGGATAGAGAGTTCGTGTGTGTACTGACTTCTCCAGGATAGAGAGAGCATTAGTGTATACTGACTCCTTCTCCAGGATAGAGAGCTCACGTGTGTACTGACTCCTCCAGAATAGAGAGCCCATGTGTGTACTGACTGCTGCTCCAGGATAGAGAGCTCACGTTTGTGCTGTCTCCTCCAGGATAGAGAACTCACGTGTGTACTGACTCTTACACTGGGATAGAGAGCTCACATGTGTACTGACTCCTCCAGGATAGAGAATTCACGTGTGTACTGACTCCTCCAGGATAGAGAGCTCACGTGTGTACTGACTGCTGCTCTGGGATAGAGAGCTCACGTGTGTACTGTCTCCTCCAGGATAGAGAGCTCACGTGTGTGCTGACTCCTGCTCCAGGTTAGAGAGTTCATGTGTGTACTGTCTCCTCCAGTATAGAGAACTCATTAGTGTGTACTGACTCCTCCAGGATAGAGAGCTCATGTGTGTACTGACTCCTACTCTGGGATAGAGAGCTCACGTGTGTACTGACTCCTCCAGTATAGAGAACTCATTAGTGTGTACTGACTCCTCCAGGATAGAGAGTTCATTGGTGTATACTGACTCCTGCTCCGGGATGGAGAGCTCACGTGTGTACTGACTCCTCCGGGGTAGAGAGCTCACGTGTGTACTGACTCCTCCGGGGTAGAGAGCTCACGTGTGTACTGACTCCTGCTCCGGGATAGAGAATTCATTAGCGTATACTGACTCCTTCTCCAGGATGAAGAGCTCACGTGTGTACTGATTCCTCTGGGGTAGAGAGCTCACATGTGTACTGACTCCTGCTCCGGGATAGAGAGCTCGTGTGTGTACTGATGCACGTGCACTCTCCTGAGTCACAGTTGCAGCTGGTTTACTCTGAAGTGCACATCGAGTTCTGTCATTTTCCTGTGTCTGCCGGGAGCCAGTTCTGACTCATAGCAACAGAACTGAGCTGCTACAGGGTTTCTTCAGTTGGGGTTTCACCCACTGAGCCACAGGCGAGTTGGCACTGCCTTTCTCGTACCAGCCAAGCATTTAACCATGGTGCGCCCAGAGCACGTGTTACTGTACAACTTTAATATTAGAACCCTTGCTTTTTTTCTTGTAGTAGGCAATTTTTAACCTTCAATAAAATGGATAGTTCTGATAACAGCAATGATAGTTAATTTTGGTAGTAATTTAGTTCCAATAACCACCAGATTATATAAAAGTGTGTATGTAGTGCTACTTATTTCCTTTGTAAAAGCAACATTTGCTTTAATTAAGTTCTTCCTTCACCCATCCTAACCTGCACTCTTCTCTAAAACTCTTCCCCTCATACCTCTGAATTTTAAATCCAGGAAGTTTGACCCTTCAATTAACTTTTTCATTTGTGAGTTTATAAATGTCTTACTTGTTATTCTTAAATTGAGGCGATTTGTAAAGTTTGATTTTGCCTAATCAGGTGAGGAAAACAAAATACTAAATTAAGACATGCCTGATTTGGAGGACTTCCAGGTTCAGTTCTACCCTTAAACAGGAACTTTGTTCTACCCCTAATAGCCTTCATGCATTCAGTATATAGGATAGACAGACTATCGTGTGTGCTCTGCTAAAATTAGTGCAAATTCTATTTGTTGCGTACTGTGTAGTAGAACCGACTCTTAGGTGACCTCCACTGGGTTTTCAGAGGCAGTTAATCACACAGGAGGAGATGTCCATCCTCATAAAGTGCAGCTAGTGGATTTAAACCACGTGCTTTCAGAATCGTAACACAGCTTCTTTACCACTAGGCCACCAGACCCCCAAGGCAGATTATAATTGCAGTGGCTTTTTAAAAGAATGTTGCAAATGTATTAAAAAAAATAAATTTCATATTATGGTTGTTGTGATGATATACCGTCCGGTCAGAACTAATTCATAGCTGACCCTCCCCTGGGTTTTCAGAGGCAGGAAGTTGAATGCGAGGAGCTTGCGCACCTTTCTCCTTCATAGCAGTTGGAGGATTTGAACTGCATGCCATGGGGTTAGCAGCACAACTTCTTACCATTGAGTCTCTGGAGCGCCCCCTACTTTGATATTAGGAAGTTCTTTCAAATAGAAAAATAAAGCTTAAATGAGCATAAGAAAGAAACAATAGCATTTTAAATAAAATTGAAAACTACAGCTCTGTTGAGTATTTTGTTGTCTAGTTTTATATATAATCTGAACATTGACTTACCAGAGTCCTGTTTATGCTTTAAAGCAGAGTTCTTAAACACACTCTTCCTTTCGGTATTGTATCTACCCTCTGAAGATCCAGTTGTAATACAAGTTCTGTCCTCCTTGCTGTTTCCCTGTACAGTAAATCTGACCAACTAGGCAGTTTGGTTCATAGTCTGATGTTTATGAAAATTATTTGTGTAAATGCTTTTTCTTTCCTAAGACTGTAAATCTTCAAACGTTAATGTCTAATTTAAATGTTGTTTCTCCAGAAAATTACAGTACAATGTCTTAAATGTCATAGGGTCTTTAGCCAATAATTACTGGTTAATAATTATTGAAAGTCAGAACAACTGTGAGATACCACCTCACCCCAGTAAGACTAGCAAAATTTAACAGCAAG